CATTATCACTTTACATTGTCTGTGGGCATGGTAATCACACCAATTATGCTCTTCCACATTATGTATGCCTGAATGGTCCACTCCCTAAAGGCCACACCCCCATTTAAAAATAACACTAGAGCAAAAATAGTCTCCTCTTCCAGCCTTATGTGCATGGAATTGCCCGTTTTCATTCGTAAGTGGCAAAGAGCATTAACACTGCTGAAAAAACATTCGACTTTGTAAATCTCTTCCAAAAGTGAAAATAAATTCAGGTCCAACTATGATTTTCTGATGGCTCTCAAGAGCCCATCAGTAACTGCATAATAACTGAAGGTCTGACTAAAACCAGCTTGTGGGTGTGAGGAAGCAGCAATGCTTCTGTTATTTCCTAACAGTTTTGCTCATTTTTTTCACTGAAGTCTTCCTAGCACAAACAACAATCTACTTTCTTCAGCTTGTCTGTGTGTGCTTAATGTGTAGGTAGGAACATGTGTGTGCATGTGAGGGTGGGGGAGCAGGTCTTCCTCAGTGCTGTGATTACAGATGCAAACACACTTCTGTGCATTTTGGGTTTTTTTTGTTTTAACATGGGCGCTAGGGATCTGAACTCAGTTCTTATGCTTACACAGCAAGCACTTTACTGACTGAGCCAGTGAATCTCCTAGCCAAATCCTTTTCCTGGGTACCTGTTTCACATTTTACAAAACAACATCAAGTTGAAAGCAGTCTACTTCCTAATGACACTGAGAACATTTCACTTTGTACTATTTTCTCCACTAGAAGATGCTCAGCTCTTTCTTTTGGCCTTTAAGTATCTGACACAATTGAGAGGGAGAAAATATAAAAAGCCAAGTATAACATACTTCTATTCTTGTTTTTAAAGATCCAATATATAAATATATACTATTGCTTACATTTTAAATTGGGCCTGGAGAGATGGCTTAGCAGTTAAAAGCACTAGGGGCTCTTACAGAGGATCAGGTTTCAGTTTCCAGCACCCACATGGTATAGTTCACAATTGTCTGTAACTCCAGTTCCAGAGGATCTGATGCCCTCTTCTAACCTCCATAGGCACCAGGCATGCATACAGTGCACATAATACATGTAGGCAAAATACTGATATACATAGAAAATAAAAAATATAATTGAAATTCAAAATTCTGTTTCAAACTGAATAGCATACATTTAAATCAGGAAGGAAGAAAAGGTCTGAACTGAATTAAAGCAATGTACTAACAATTTACCACATGGAAAATAAGAGGCTTCACTCCGAGGTACGATAATGAAGGTGGTACAATGGTAATAGCAATCACTTAGCAAAAGACAATATTGTCAGATGCTGGGAATAATTCAGTTGGCATGGCCCTCATGCAGACAACTAGAAAACTCTATTTTTCTAAGTTGGAAACCAGTGTTTCCACAGATACACATTAAGGGCTTATTTACATGTTGGGTGCTTTTAACATTTTTATAGAAAGTGGAAACAAAACACATTTTTTAAAGAGTGCAAATGTCATCCAAGTAAGCATTCCTGAGGCCAAGGACATGGCATGACTGTGGCTGTGCTCGCCATGTAAGCCTGACAACCTGAATGTGGATTCCCAGAACCATGTAATAGCCAGACACCGTGGCACATGTCTGTAAGAGTGTAGAACAGGAGATGGGAGGCAGAGATGAAGAGAATACCTCAAACACAAGGTAGGAGGGGAATGGAGAGAGAGTTCAGCAGTTAAAACCACTGGCTGTTCTTACAGAGAGCCAGTATGGTTCCCAATACCCACAGGGCAGCTCACAGCTATCTGAAACTCCAGTCCTAAGGGACCTGAAGCTCTCCTGAGCTCCTCACACTAGTTCTGAATGTGGTACATTCACATAAATGCAGGCAAATCACTCATACAGAAACTTAAAAATAACATCAACACTACTACTACTACTACTACAAAAAAAGAAGCCAGATGCAGTAGCATATGCCTTTGATCCTAGCACCTGAAGTGCAGAGGCAGGCGGACCTCTGTGGGTTTGAGATCAGCCTGGACTACATTGAGTTCCAGGACAGCCAAGGCTATGCAGAGAGACCTTGTCTCAAACAAAACACAACAAACAGCCAGGCAGTGGTGGCACATGCCTTTGATCCCAGCACTTGGGAGGCAGAGGCAGGTGGATTTCTGAGTTCGAGGCCAGCCTGGTCTACAGAGTGAGTTCCAGGACAGCCAGGGCTACACAGAGAAACTCTGTCTCAAAAAACAAAAAACAAAACAAAAACAAAAAACAAAACAAAAACCACAACAAACAAACAAACAAAAATGAGAGGTGAGACCCAACACCTAAGGTTGTTCTCTGACTTCACACGTGTTTTGTTTGTTTTGTTTGTTTGTTCACACGTGTGTGTGTTACAGCATGCATACATTTTCACACAAAACACATACACTCAACACACATAATAAATAAATGTTAAATAATAAATATTAAAATAAGCATTCCCAGTGCAAATTCTTTCTTGAAAATGGTTAAGCACAGGGAACTAAATACAGTGATTATCTTTCCATGGATACAAGCACACACGAATGCTGCTGGAACGTCTTCAGGATAGATAAGGACATCCTTGAGTAGATAGATGTAGATATTTGACATGAGACATATATATATATCATATGATATACATGTATATTATATATAGATCATATATAGATGAATATATATCAGCAACAAAAGAAAAAAATGAGGCAAAATATTTACAATTGTGTAACTGGTAAAGCCCAACCTCATGAATTCCATCTGTTTTATCACACTGAATAATCAGTCTGTCTCACCTTGGAGGTGACGTCGATTCCAGTGATGAAGCTGCCAGCCTTGTTCTCGTACCTTCTGCTTGTCTCCTAACAGAAGAGGAAAGATGAAAAATTCTGACAGAAAAATCCACCATAAAAGGCACCCTTCTCCATTCTAACAACCCTTGTTAGTAGGAAGTCTATCTCTGAGGCTCCACAGAGGCAAGTAACCATTCTAATAAGAAGTCTTTTCCAGACCCCAGGCAATTCTGTCAACTTGGAGTATCTACATAAATGAAAATCTAAAGTCTTTTTTGAAAAATGTCAAAAATGAGACAGTCACTTAGCTTCCCAAACCGGATAGGACAAAGTTTCCGAGAAAGGCCACTAGGTGGAGCAAATGCCTCTGTGAAAATGCTTGAAGTCCTAGATCTCTGGGAAAAATACAGCCTAATACAATGAAAAAAGGAAGGGAGATGACTCGAACGAAGACTCAAGTCTCAGGTCTGCAGCCAAAACCCTGGACACCGCATTCAACCTCTAGGCTCTGCTTTCCTCTACAATATCTGTCTTTCTGACTTCTGCTCTCCTGTGCTTAAGATAACCCAACTTTCTTCAACAATTTTGTTTCTATCTCTGAGACTTTTGTGTTTGCTGTCCTCCCTGCTAGGAATTGTTCCCTTCCAACTGACATGGTCATTTAGGGTTAAAGTTGAATCTAACTATCTCGGGGGACTCCCCTGTGCATCCCAACACATACCAACTGCTTCACACCCTTCCTGGTCACTGTACTTTCTATCCTATTAACAGGGCGTGTTTTCTTTGTAGCACTTAACACAAAAGGAAATTATTTACTTGTGTCCCCTACTAGGGCAAACACCAAGAGGGAGTTTGCTCTTAAGCACCTAGGATTACACCAGCACACATAGAGGTGTGTGATATATACATGTTAAACTGATTGAACGGATAACACCTAAGTCACGACCACACTATAATATAGATGTTGTTACGAAAGATACTGTCATTTGTCACCACTAACTACCTTAGCCTTCACTCATAACTTCAAATGTAAAACCAAGACCTGCTATCTCGGGGGCAGGGGAGTTCATGTTGTGTGTGAAAATCGGGCTATCCAGACCCCAGACCCCTTTAACTGGCATGTGAATATCAAACCACAAGCAAAACACTCCTCATACCCACTATGGTGAAAGAAAGATTAAGTATCGCTGTGTGTCAGGAGTTGGGACCATCGAGTAGCTGCAGGGAAGGTGCGCAGGGACATGAGGACCCTCATTCACAATACCAACACACGCGTGTCTGCTGTTTGACAGGTCTAGCCCGCCCAAGCGAAGAGGTCTTGTTTAAGTGACACTAACTCCGCCGGGATAAGACCCAACAGGAGACCTGGATGCCAGCGGCACCTAACACTTCCTTTCAGGGCTCATCCAGGTTCTGTTCCCGCCCGCGGCTCCCTTTTATCTCCAGCCAAACACAGTTGATTCGTTCCGGGCCATGGGCCCGCACCGAGGGGCGGCGAGAGGGGTGTCCCCAACTCTCTCCGAGATCCCCCGCCTCCTCCAGCGCTCTCTGCGCCCATTTCCGGGCGCCCTGGCGTCCTTTCTCTCTGGCGCTCTCCGGGTCATGCGCGGCACCCGCCTTTCGGCGCTCGCGCCCCTCTCCCGCGTTCCCGGACTTGCGCCAGCGCCGCTGTCCGCCGCCTCCCCGCCTCGCAAGGGACACTCGCTCGGCGACCTCCTCAGCCCCCGCCCCTCTCGCCCGTACCGGGAGCAGTTCCTTTAGGGAGCGCCGCACCGGCACGATTTCCAGCTCGCCTTCTTCCACCTCCATGGGCTCCGGCTCGCCACGCTCCAAACCGGACTCCACCTCGGGTGACGGAAGCCCCAAAGCCGGCCCAGCGGGGGCCTCCGCCTTCACAGACACTCGCAGGCCGCGAACGGCCGCCATAGCTGCCAGCCGGCCGCACCACAGAAAGCCCGCCCCTCACTCCCGCCGCCTAGAGCGCCGTCGCTGAATACCACAGAGGAGCACTGCTGTCACCTAGAGCGTCGTCCGTGTCTACCAGAAAGCCCTCCTTATCTCTGGCGCCCCCTTGGTGGCCTAGGAACCTGGGGCCGGCTTGGGGCGGGATCTCGTGGGGGAGGGGGCGGGACGAAACAGGGATGGAAGTGGGGCGTCGTTTGAGGTTCCAAAATACCTACGCTTGGAGGACTACTTCTAAGAACTGCTGAGCAGTTACTGTGTGCCGAATGCTTCCAAGGCTTGAACCCTTACAACTCTATGAATAGGATTTCATTACTTTCATTTCACATAGGAGAGAACTGAGGCACGGTTCTCTCAAGGTAGGTTATTTACCTGGATCTGAGCCTAGGCAATCGTGCTTCAGAGCCAGAATGAACTATAATCTATCATCTCAGCAATCTGAGCGTTTACAAAATTATTTCCGTAGTAAACTTTGTCTCTGTCAAGTCTTCCAGTAATTGAACCATTTTATGTAGTCAAAAATTTGAACTAGGGCTCAGTGTAGGGTTAATAATTCTATAATCCCAGCAGTCAGGAGGCAGAGGCAGGCGCATCTCTGAGTTTCAGGCCATCCAGGGATCCAAGGTGAAACCCTGCCTAAATTTAAACTGGAAAGGGGTGGTACACGATTGTATTCCCAGCAGGAGGATTAGAAGCTCAAGTTATCCTCCTATTACACCAGGGGCAATTGCTAGCTTGAGACCAGCCTAAACTACAGAAGATCCTACCTTAAAAGGGGAGGAGGTGCTCCAAGATCGCAGTGACCTACCCAAAGGGCAGAACCAGAGTTTAGACCGTGTTCTCAGTTCTGGGAGCTCTACGTACATCAAAAGACTCACAAACGTGATTTCTTGCAAATGTTTCTAGTAAGAGTCTGGCTTGTTCACACGTTCAGAAGGCACTTGTCTGTCATGAGTCCTGATTTTGTGTCTCCTCCTGTGTCATATTTAGCTAGCCCTTTCTAGACCTATCTCCCAATCTGAACCATGAATAGATGAGACCATATCATATATCTGAGCCCCTAAAAATCTAAAACAGAAAAAATACACAAATCAGATACACTGGGTTACCTTGGGAACATAGAACAATGGCACACACCTCCACAGAAGACTGTGAGGACCAAATGAGCTAATTCCGTGTGGTTATATGATCCAACAGAAGTGGTGCAGTACATCAAACTTTTCTTAAAACGGGCCGGCACCATGGGACAAACAAGATGGAATTCCTTAGAATGGTGCCATCAATTGAATGCAGCACAAATGTAAGTACGAAATTGGGTTACAAGAATGGAATGTATTTTCTTTTCTCCTGTTCCCCTTCCTTTCCTTTTTATTTCCCTTTTTCTTTTGCTGTATTAACAATGGAACCCAGAGACTTGAGCATGCTAACAAAACCCTTTACCAGTGAGCTTTACCCCAGCCGTCTTGTTTTGAGACAGAATCTTGCTGTGTAGCACCGGCTGGCCTGCTACTCTCTTTGTAGCAGAGAATGACCTTACACTCCTAATCCTCCTACTTCTACCTCCTGAGTGATAGGATTACAGGCATGTACCACCGTGCCTAGCTCCCTACTGTGTATTTTATAGAAATGTTTGTGTTTGGGATGGCCAGCTGTCATGAACCCCACCATTACGCTATCTCTCTAGGTCTGTGGAGTGGGAGGTGGGAGAAACAGAAGCAGTTAATTACTTAGCCACACAGGCCTCTTTCCCTCCTAAAGAGACTTGCAGCTTGAGGATTCAGTTCAGAGGGATTTGAAATTGCAGTGTAAAGAGGCCTTGGGACAGCCACAGCGGGGGAGGGGGAGGGGGGCGGTTTTCAAGCAGTCAACACTAAGCTCCATGGCTGCTACCAGACAGCCTTTCTCTTTACTTGGTCACCCAACTCACTTCTTCTGCTTCCCTGTCCACAGTGCAGCCCGATGAGGTGAAACCACAGAGAATTTAGGAGGTGGTAAGGAATACTTTTCAAAGATTTACAGTAAGTGGGGCTGGAGAGATGGCTCACCTGGAATTTTAATTCCTGCAATGCAAGGACATGATTCTAAATTCTCAGCACTTGTGTAAAAGCCTGACAAAGTGAAGGGCATTTAAACCCAAAGTACCAGAGGGCAGTGACAGGCAGATTCCTGGACCCACTCGCCAGCCATCCTTAGCCGAATCTGGTAGTCCAGGTTCACTGAGAGAACCTGTCTCAAAAACTAAAGTGAAGATAGATCAGCGGTTACAAGTACACAATGCTCCTCCAGAGGACCCAAGTGTCTCAAATAACAGTAAAGAGGAGGGGGCCGGAGAGACTGCTCAGTGCTTAAGAGTCCAGATGCTCTTGCAAAGGACCCAAGTTCAGTTCTCAGCATCCACATCAGGCAGCTCACATCCGCCTACACGCCATGAGATCTTACGCCCTCTCCTGGCCACTGACTGAACTGTACTTACATAATCAAGGAAGATACACAACATCCACCTCCACATGCCCACATGGGCATACGCCATACTTACATATAAGCACACGCACATACAGTCAGAGCTGAGCATGGTTGCTTACACCTGTAATTTTGGTACTCAGGAGGCTGAAGTGGGATGATCTCCAGGATCTCAGGGCTCTCCTGAGCTATAGAACACTTCCCCTTCCCCCAAAAAAAGGTAAAAAAAAATCCTTAAAGTTAAATATATATATATTAGTTAAATATATATGTATATGTATATATATATATAATTTTCAAATATAAAATTAAAACATGGGCTGTGTGTCTGCCTACTTTAACTGAATTCTTACCCAGCACCCACAAAGTCCTGGCACATTCCCCAGCACAGAATAAACTAGGCATGAAAGCACACAGCTATAATCCCAGCACTCAGAAGGTAGAAGCAGGAGAATCAGAGCAAGTTCAAGGTCAGCTTGGAACACAGGAGAGCCCAGCCCCTCCCCGTGTCAAATCTTACTGTTCATTAAAACTTCCTGTGGCAGAGAAAAGTTACATTCTGTATCATTCCAACCTCGTGACCTTCTAGTAACTAGTCGGTTGTGGAGAGGAGCAGGGAGGTGTGAACAGATGAACACTGGATGTCTAGGGGAGTGAAGACCCAAGCTTTGACCTGTTCTCATCTCAGCTGGAGAAATGTCTGTGGCCACCAGATACAGTTGATTACACGAGTGTGAGGAGAAGGGTGTTAGGGAGGGACGCCCTAACATTTAAACCTGGAATTCAGTAGCACTGATCCCCCAGAGGCCTAGTCCAGCCATTTGCTGTACTGACCATGTCTTCAGTAGACACCCAGCACTCTGGTTCCCCAAAGGGGATGCTGTCTATTTACATTTGAGAAGGATAAGGCTGTTTGAGTGTGCTCTCTTGTGTATAGTAAAGGTCACCCTGTAAACTGAGATATGTATCCCCTGGGAAATCTGGAACCCTTAGTAGCTCCCATCCCCACTCCTTCCTCCTCCACCACCCCCAACCCGGAGCCACCATGTAGACTGAGAGATTGAGGAAACAAGAGACCTAGAAACAGTCCTGTAGGATTCAAAGCCTGTAGACATCTTCTCGTAGGCACCAAGGTTACCCAAGGCATGTTCAGCTGCCTCCCAAACCTTCAACCAGACCCACTGTTGCTGGGGCTCAGTTCTCCTGTGTGGCATAGTAGTTTCTATCTCTGTGTTCCCCACATGCCTTTGCATGTGTAGGGCTCACAATCTCCTGGGAGCTTATGTGGAAATGCCTGGATGGGGGGTTAGTGAGCAAGAGATGTAGATTCTAACCTGACACTTTTCTAAGGCACTTTCCTCTGGGCCTCAGTTGTCCTACCAATGTGCATGCTGAAAGGACTAGACTCATGAGAAAATCACATGGAGCACCTGTGATTCTCTCCAACGTTCTCAAGACTCAACCATGTTGATTGAGAGTATAATGTACTTTGACAGACAGAGGTGGGAGTATGGGGAGGGCAGTACCCTGGAAGCATCTGTGGCCTTGAAGACATGATGGGGAGAGAAGTGAATGGGTGGATGGGTAGAACCTGAGCCAGCAGGGCACCCAGAGAGGACAGCAGCAGGCCCTGTATACTAGAGTGGGATTCTTGCTAGGCAGCTAGTGGGGATACAGGCTGGAGACCAGCAAGATGAGAGTTAGGGGCTGAAACCCAGGGGCTGTGAGGATGGGATGGGAATGGGAACAAAACCCACTTATTTGTCTGGCATTTGACAAGCTCATCTGGCTACTGTCTCCCCTCTGGAAAGGCCTGGTACTGCCCCTCACAGGAACATAAGGTAACCAAGAAGTAGCCGGGAACACTGATGGTCTGACTGATGGTCTGCACTCCCCAGGGAGAAAAACTGATCACCAACAGACAGCCTCCAGCTTGGTCATCTTCTTGGTCTGTAGCACTCATCAGTTTCCAGCTTCATCCAGCTATAAGACCACAGCTGGGCAAGCAGCAGCCATATAGGGCCTGCTGGGCAGTAGCCCCCAGGTTTCCCCAGAAGGCACTTATTTTCTGGATTATGTAAGACAAACCAGGCTCTTGTAACAAGGACTTAATTTACTGTCACAAAAACTCTATGAAAGGGGCTGGTGAGATGGCTCAGTGGTTAAGAGCACTGACTGCTCTTCCAGAGGTCATGAGTTCAAGTCCCAGCAACCACATGGTGGCTCACAACCATCTGTAATGATATCTGATACCCTGTTGTGGAGTGTCTGAAGACAGCTACAGTGTACTTACATATAATAAATAAATTAAAAAAAAAAATAAAGTGTTAAAAAAAAAAAAAAAAAAAAAAAAAACTCTATGAAAGTGCTGATACTATTTGTACTATACCAATGAAGAAATCGAGGTTCCTGAAATGACCTGCCAACGGTGTCAGTTATTAGGTAGGTAGCCAAACTTGTGTTCAAACTCAAGGCTGTCTGACCTCAAGGATGACATCTGGTATCGCCACCCTGGAGGAGACCATGACTATAGTGCTGGCTAAGAAGCCAAGGGGAAAGACCCTGGGCATGCCAGCTCCTCCACTTAGCCTTCCTGAACTCTATGGTTCTCAAGCACCCAATTCCCCAAGGCTGCATAGGAGACAGGAGTCCTTAGCCTCATGAGCCCACTTTCCACCTCCTTCCTTCTATCTCTCCTCTCCTCACCTCTCACTACCCTACCATGCTGTTCAGGTGCCTACAGTGCCTCAGAACCCTCCAGAAAATTGAGCCAAGTCCACTGTGACAAGAAAGAAACATGTCTGGATGCAGAAGACATACAAAGATTTTTTTAACTCAACAAAGGGCTTTTTATTGTTTTTAATTCACTTCCTAAGAAGTTAATTTTTATAAACACTCTTATGGAGTTTGTTCACTTGTGCTACATTCAAAACCAAAGCCAACCAAAGCTCTCAGAAACAGGTGACACCCAACTCCGAGCTTCTCCCATGCGGGTTCCATCCACAAAGCTCCCTGATGCCTTGCTGCTTATTGGTTGGCATTTAACTTGCCTCCATTCACTCTATAAAAGTATTCTTAGAGATAGGATTACATGATTTGTTCTCAAGCCCTGGGTTACACTGGCTGCCTTAGTGCAGAGGAGTTGGGTTGAAATGGGAGCCCTTTGACAATGGGCTACCTGCTGCTCCTAGGCATAAGTTGACGTAGAAACTATATTACAGATGCATGTGCCAGTATGAGACATGCAAGTGTGCTGTATACAGATGGGCACGCACACGCATGTGCACATGAAGGACCAATGTACACCCATGGGCACAGAGATACAGTGGGAACCAGCCTCCCACCCAGCCTCTCTCCTTTCTAGTCTAGCCCTCCAGCATTCTAAAACCAGGTGGGCAGCCAGGATCTCTTACTACGGGAGGCTTTCAGAGAGGGCTACCTGAGTCCTGCTCATCTCCCTTTGGGGACCAATCCCTATGAGTGTTATCAGTAAACATTAGGATAGCCAGGCGACCACAGAATCCAGAGAGCTGATATCTTCTGGAAGGGCAGTATCCACGCGTGTCCCAACTGTGCAGCTCTGACCTGTGCGGGCTGACTGTCTGATGTCCTGTACTGAAGCAACTGACAGGAGGGCCAGCTGCCTGACAGGGAGTGCATCTTGTACGGTCGCTCCCTCATCTGGCTGGGCCTCCCACCTGGACAGTTTATCATAGGTGTGTGGTGAGTAAGCCAGCATCGGCTCCGAGCCTAGATCCCAGTTACTTCCACATTTGCAGGGCCACAGTTCTGGGAGTCGGTGGCCCTTCTTGTCACTCCTGGTGTTCTGTAACCTTCATTCTGGAGATCCATGAGAGGAAGGGAGGTTGGCAGGCTAAGTGCACTGCTCCAGGCTCAGGCCTATGCTCTGAGCTGGATTCACTTCAGCCCTTTCTCTGGTGAATGCTAAGTGTAAAACACAGTCCATGACTTTCAGGTCCACGTGACTGCCAAACAGTGTCCCAGGAACTACCTGAAGCCTGAGGAAGATGCTCCCCACAACAGCTGCTCCCACCCAAGCCCTCGGGTAAAAGACGATGAGAGAGGAATCTGGATTCTCCAAGATCAGTCTGCTCCCGGGAACGCGTCATTAGCTGTAGCTTCCACGCTAGAGATCTGAGTACAGCAGCACTCAGCACCTTCCACACAGAGGTGAGGCAATCACCCCTGCATGTGTGCAGCAGCTGGGCAGGCCACCGATCCCTACAGGAGTTCTCTGAGATACAGCCCACCAGCTCTCCACCTGCCATTTTCGTCTCTTGCCTTCTGCCCTGGGCCTCACCAGCCAGTCAGATAGGGTTTCTAATTTTCCCCACAAGATGGATCAGAACAGAAAGAACCAACCGGGACCCCCGAGCCCCAAATGACACACATTCCAATCCTGTCCCTGGATGTGCCTGTGCGCAGGTCATGCAGCACAATGGGTGAGGGGGGCCAGGAGAGGGGCCGCAGTCCCCAGCCCCCTGCCTGCAGGGGCGACTATTGCATGAGGGCGGTGGGCCTCTGGAGGTGCGGAATGAGCATGCTGCCGATGGCCCTGGACACATGCAGGGACTCAGGATGCAGCCTCATCTTCCTGGACTCCGGGAAGCTCTGGGCTTTTACTCCCTTCTCCACATCCTTCTTTCCTGTTAGGAAACACCAGGGGCAGAGGGATCCCAGGAGTCAGAATGTCTGCAGGGGATTTTCACATACACTCACATATGGTTGACTCTCCTATAGCCTTTCACATCCCAACTCCACACTAGCCCCCCTGGGATCTGCCCCATCATGGCAGTCCTTCTTGCTACTTCCCCTGGCCCTACCCTCAACTCACAACCCTTCTGTGGCTACCCACTGCCCTGGGATGGAATCTAAACCTCTCAGAAATCTCTCACCATCTCACCCAGATGACTTTCTAGTATTCCAGGAGTACTGGCCAGGTCAAAGGTCTTTCCTGTTGACTTTGACTGGCCCCAGTGGGTTACAGGCTTTCATTCTGCATTTTCTTTCATTCTGTGTGCCCTGTGTTTGCTCACAGGGCAGAGTTACCATCAGTCTTGGAATTCTACGATTCAACAGATCCCTGAATCTGATCACCCACCCCACTTCCAACCTTTGTTTTAAAAATATCCAATCAAAGGATCAATCTCACTGAACTGGATTAACAATATCATAAAATTAAAAAATGGAGTCTACCAAGGACCCCAAGGTTAAACTGTACTTTATCCTTGTTTTTGATGTTCAGTTCTAGGGAACAAACTGTAACCGTTCTTAACAATTGGCTACTTCATGGTACCACCAGGGGGCACCAGGACACAAGCACTGAACTGGAGCAGTCCCATTTACTGCACAATTGTGATGTCAGACTCTTGTCTGTACATAATCATCAACAAACTCCTTTTCACTCTCCACTCTGTCTTAGTTGGTTTGTCAAATTCTGTATGATCCCTTCCACCAGGAGCAACTCCAGCATCAGGGCCCTGATACCAATTACCTCAAAGATGAATCAGGAAATGCATAGCTATCTCCCAGGTCTACCTCACTGTGTGGCCACTCCTTGTAAGGACATGCCTGCACAATATCCATGATCACCTCCCTGGGAAAGTGTCTTTACTACAAGGCAAGCCAAATGTACAGTCCTTCTCCCTGAGCTCCCTCATAACCAGAGAGGTACCCAACTTCGCTAGGACCATGATGTTCTGGTTCACAATGCCTCACAATTCTCTCTGAAGGTCTGTACACAAACTCTAACTGGAAGGTGAATTTTACCGCAGCAGAAAAAGTGGAAGCCAGAATCAATGTTCAGAGAACTGCTTTTCTAATCTCTCCCAAAGTGGTGAACCCATACACGTGGTCCAAAGTAGGGACCCCTTAGCAAACAAGGGTTCCTCTCCTCTAGCCTTGTCAGCTAGCTAGTCCACATGGACTCACTGGATGAACAAAGTGCTGGTTATGGAAAACATGAGCCACTCAAGAAGGCATCAAATGCCCAGCCTGGGGCTAGGGAAAGTGGTCAGAAGGCCCCATTGCTCCATGGACACCAGCCTTCGATAAAGAGCAGTCCCGAATCTGTCTGTAGATTTTGACTGCCAAGGGCTGAGGGAAGCACAGATTAGAACCAGAGAGTTGGGCTGGACCCCGTAGTACAGCATGACCACAGTAGATCTGTCCCAGTGAGGGCCGAGTTAAGTCTTCATCTCTTACAGTGTGTGCATGTAGGGCATTAGGCCTAGACAAATGGGGCCCTGCTCTGAAACGTGGATATGTCCCTAAGCTCTAGGGACAGCTCCACACTAATACAAGCTGGGGATATGTCTCAGTGCCACCGCTCAGCCCAGGCCCAGGGAGCAGCCCACAGGCCTCAGCCCACTGTACTTACATCAGTAAGTTTCCTGGTGCAGACATGGATCTTTCTTCCCTGCGTGCTTGGGGCTCGAATGGGTTTCCAAAGGAACGTTTTCTCAGCATAGACTTGACCAGGATCTGGGGAGGATAAGTCAATATGGGGACTAGGCCTGGCCAGCCAGTCCCAGCCTAGGCAAGCAGGTAGGTTCATGGGGCAGGGTGTGGTCTAACTGACAGGTGGGGGACTTGACTCAAGTCTCCAGGCCTTTCACTGTCATGCCTAGACACCAGTGTGGTGCCTCAGGAAGAGCAGAAGTTCACAGAATGTAGGCAAGGAAGGAACTGCTTCTTCCTGCCACACCCCTTCCCAAACCTCAGGTCTCTCCATCAGGCTGAATAAGGTGACCTTATTCCAAAGACTCCAATGGAGCAAGGGCTTTCATGGCCCCCTGTACTGTGACTGACTGACCTGATGCCCAACTATTCCTTCAAAGGCCAAGAGCACAGCAAGTCCCAAGCAGTAGCCACACCCTTCTAAGATGAGAGTTCCCATCCCCCACCCTCTTACCACAGTGGTCCAGCTGGGGATGAGCTTGACTGAGTTCTTCACCTCTTCCTCAGTCACCTCCACCACACTGCAGTGTTCCTCCTCTGAAGGGAGGGGTTCCTCTCCATGTTTAGTCACCCAAGGGTGTAACTGTAGAACCCAGAAGATAGAGAAGGGTCAGGGTCATCAACAATGGTCATAACCCAGGGAAGAGTCAAACAGACATCAACCAGCTAAGGTCCCCAAGCATCCCTAGCATTGACCTTGAAGGTGTTCTCAACCCAGAAATGCCAAACCCAACACATGTGTCCCAGGATAGGTCTATCCAGAAGGGGACACAGAGCTTGGCCCTGGACAAGGCCTCTTGTCTCCCACCTTGATATCTGACACCCCAATTCTTGTTTCAGGATTCTTGTCTAGCATCTTCAGGATCAGGTCTTTGAGTTCCTCACTGACCTCTGGCCTAGGCAGAGAAAAGGAAAAGGACCAGGATGCCACCATGAGTGAGGGTCATTTTCTCCCTCCCTCAAGACCAAGAATAATCCCAACCACATTCCTCAGAAGAAAGGACAGGAGGCCATCCATCTGCTCTGGCCCCTCCCGGGGATCAGTTTCCCCTTTCTAACTCTGAGGGCTGAGATGGGACCCTCACAGGGCAAATGCTCTGCTAAAGTTCAGATACCCTCCCCAGGAGGCAGGGGAGCCTCCATGATCCCCTCCATGGACAACTTACTCCTCAGGGAACACCACGGCCTCATTCTTGATCTTCCTGTGCAGGGCCAGGATGTACTCATCAATGAATGGGCACTGTGAGAAGAAGAGACAGACAGGATGTAGGCCTTGATCCACACTGTAGGGGCCCAGGGGTGGGAGGCAGTTTATGCCCCACCTCTATCCCAGCAGATGAGAAAGGCCCCATCTAACTTGTTCAGGGCACACAGCAAGGGCTCAGCAAATGTAACTGAGCAGATGAGTCACTGGAGAACTATGCTGGCTGCACCTGCCACCAGCAATAAAACTGCCTGCAGCAAAGCCTTGATCTCCCGGGGCCTGATGTTTGGGGACATGTTCACTGAGATACCGCCTGCCCTCTTAAGTGTGGTCACCAAGCACCTGTGGGCAGGGATCTTGATCATGTCAGGGTTAGAGGTCAGCAAGACCCAACGATGTGAAGAAATGATTGCGTGGATGAAAGAATGAATGGCATCAAGAAAGGACAGGGCTCACCCTGGAGGAGAAGAGGCAATGCCACTGTCACCTCCTCTTGGATACTTCCTGTCCCAGGACAACAAATCCATCCCTCCTAGAGGGGAGAAAGAGAAACAAAAGGCCTCTCTTTCCTCAGGCTTCTTGGCCCAGGTGGGGCTTCTCAAAAGCCGTTTTGTCTAAGGACACAAAAAAGTTCCTGCATCTGTCACCCACTCCTGACTCCTTGGATCCAGTCACAGAGTTTCGCAGGCCCCTCAGGACTCACCTTCCCATAGACAAAGCAATACAGCGTGACTCCAGTGGCCCATACATCCAAGGCCTAGAAAGAAACAAGCCTGCATCAGTAAATATGATCACCTTCATCCCCACATCACCTCACCCATCTTTACCAGGCTGTGGAAGAGCCTTGCAGGGCCACTCCTTCCCCAGGCAGGCACCAATCAGCAAACACTCCCTGAGGCTTGATCTGTGCTGGGCCCTGCGCTAAGCACAGGGGAGATGCCAAGGATGATGAGAACAGAGCTGTAACATTCCTGGGATTGTGGGCTTTCTAGGGACAGGCCCAGAACAGATAGTTTCTAACTCAGCAGGTTCCAAGCCTCATTCCATCCATGGGGTCATTTGCTGCCTCCATGACACAGATGTACTTCCAAAATAGCAATATGTATTGAACTCTTGCTCAATAAGTAGCTTTAGGTTCAAGAGAGCCTCACTCCAGTTACTTTGCAGCTGCTTCCAATGCCAGAGGCAACCCCTTCCCTTCCTCATCCCTATGCCCTCTGACAACTCCTCTCAGGGCCGGGTGGGGCTCTCCATAGGATCCTCATGTGTGCAACCCCTGACACAATCATCATCATCATCACCATCATCCATCCATCCTTCCAGGGAACACAAGACAAGTGTAAACTGGTGTGTCCTGAGACATCAGTCTGCTTTCAAATCATTAAGGTCAGAATGACAGAGAGGCCAAGAAGCTGGAGGGCCAGGGAACACAGGATAATGTGTTTGTAAACCAACACTTGGGATGTAGCTACTAGAGAATCACTAGTTCAGGGTCATTCTCAGCTACACAGCCAGTTCTAGAGCAGCATGAAGTATGTGACACCCTGTCCCCACCCCTCACCCCAGAAAAAGGGTGGAGGGAGAAACACCTCCAGTTCAGAGAACTCTAAGGAAATATGACAAGTGACCCTGATGGATCTCCAGGATTAAAAAAGAAAGAAAGGGAAGGGAAAGGAAGGGAAGGGAAGGGGAGGGGAGGGGAGGGGAGAGAGGGGGAGGGGAGGGGGGAGGGGAGGGGAAGGGGAAGGGGAGAGGAAGGGAAGGGAGAAAGAAGGGAAGGGAGAAAGAAGAAGGGAAGGGAGAAAGAAGAAGGGAAGAGAGAAAGAAGAAGAAGGGAAGGGAGAAAGAAGAAGAAGGGAAGGGAGAAAGAAGAAGAAGGGAAGGGGAAAGAAGAAGAAGGGAAGGGGGAAAGAAGAAGAAGGGAAGGGGGAAAGAAGAAAAAGGGAAGGGGAAAGAAGAAGGGAAGGGGGAAAGAAGAAGAAGGGAAGGGGGAA